GTTTTGTAACTACCAATCTGTACTTCTCAATCCCTTCACCTTTTGCATCTGTATTAGTTTTTCTATTGCTGTGTAACAAATTACCACAAACTTAGTGGCTTGAAACAACACAAATGTATCTGTTTCTGTGGGTCAGAAGAAGTCCAGCCATGACTAGGCTGGATTCTCTCCTAAGGATCTCAAAAGGCTGAAATCAAGGTGTTGGCGGAGCTGCATTCCTTTGAGGAGGCTTGATTAGAGAAAGATCCACTGCCAAGCCCCCTCAGGTTGTTGGCAGAGTTTATTTTCTTGATTGAATGGCTGAGGCCCATTTTCCTGCTAGCCCTCAGCCAGGGGCTGCTCCCGCTGCTGTAGAACCACCCACGGTTCCCTACCATTTGCCCTGTTCCATAAGCCCTCTCATGCTTGGAATCTCTGCGTGAGGAAGAGTCCAAATCCTTCTAAGGGCTCCCCTGATTTAAGTCAGGCCCACTAAGAATAATCCCCTCACCTTAAAGTCAACTGATTTAGGAGCTTAACTACCCCTGCAAAACCCCTTCACAGAAGAACAGATTGGCGGTTGCCAGATGGGATGGGGTTGGGGGGATGGGTGATAAAGGTGAAGGGATTAAGAAGCACAAATTGGTAGTTACGAAATAGTCACAGGGATGTAAAGAACAGCATAGGAAATATAGTCAGTAATGTAATAACTCTGTACGGTGCCAGGTGGAACTTATCAGGGAGATCACTTTGTAAATTATATAAATGTCTGACCACTATTCTATGCACCACCACCCCAAAAAAGAAAAAGAAATCCCTTCACAGCAGCACCTAGATTAGCGTTCGTAAGTAACTAGGAGAAGATAACTGTACTCCTGGGGATGGAGATCTTGGGGGCCACCTTAGAATTCTGCCTACATAAACCCTGGCGAGTCGCTTCTCTTCTGGCAAGAGTGTTGTATGTGAAATGCTTTCTTAGTATCCACCTTTGTTTTCTCAGTTTTGTAATCTATTTTTTTAACAAATGCCACCGAGTCCATAATTCTGTGTCACGTGGGGTGATGACAGCTTTTGGTAAAATGATAACAACAGCTGTCGTTTTTATGAGGATTTAACTGTGTGTCAGACGTTATTCTGAACTTTACACGCATTGACTCATATAACCTTCACCGAAACTCTATGCAGAAGATGCAGTCAGTACCATGAGCTGCAGATGAGAAAACTGAGGCTGGGCCCGGCTAAGTGACACGGCCCGTGTTCGACAGCTAGAAAGTGGTAGATCTAGGACTCAAACCCACATCTCTTTTCCTTGGGGGTCCTCCTTCCTAACCTATTTCTGTCAGCTGTCTTGCTGTATTGTTGTTTTATAAGCCTACTGAATGTCCTCCAGAGCTATGATGATTATCACTCATCCATCCGTTCTTTAGTCAAATTCGCCATCTGATAACAGAAAATGTCATGTAGATGAAATCCTCCCTAAAAACAAAGGGCACCCCTAAAAGTCAAATACCAAAGAGACACAGGGTGTTAGAACGATTTGGAGCCTGACTCTTGGTAAGGATAACCAGTATGTTGGCACCTGGCATTCTCATGTGCCTTGTTCTTGGATTCTGCGGTGTACTTTGCTGCCTGGTTTTATGCCCGACATCGATTAATAAGCTTCATCAAAAAGAAGACTCGCCGGTTCAGCCCTGGAGAGCAACTTCAGGTCTTCTTCCCAGAGCAGCCAGTCTGTGTCAGCAGGAATCAGAATAGAAATGGTGTGCATCTACGGAAAACTGATGTCCCCCGGCTTGAAATAGCACTTACGCAAGGTGACACCCTCTCCTCATTGTAACAAAGGACTGACCTGTGCCACCGTCCAGAGGCAGAAAATAAATAGTCAGAATGGGAAAGATGACATTGACGGCACCCTCTTCTGAAAGGCATTTGCTTTTCGATAAAAGGACAAAATTGGCATTGATTTATGTTTTAATTGTAAGCTGAGCCTCATAAATGAGCAAAACTACGCAGAGTGCTCTGAGGCCACAAATCTGGGAAGAAGGGCCGACGGTGTGACACTGTCTCGCCCGGAACATCCGTTTCCTCTCTTCCAGCTGCCGGTTTCTCCTCCCAGCAGGTGGATGTGAGCTCCAGCCCTGAGGTGCCCATGGGAGTCGAAATGCTGTTGTGTTTCCACTTCTATGTTCTGATGGAGCGAACGCTTCACCTTTCAAAATCTGAGACCCAGAGGAGTTAGGGGAAGACCGAAGCAGCAAGGTGGCTTTGGCAGAGAGTAGCTAGCAGTTCACAGTGCCCGTCTCCCTTTGCCCTCGGACCCAGAGCAAGGCACTGCCCGGATCCCCCTGCAGCTCGGTGCGTCCGCATGGCTGGGTTCCGGACGGTGGAAGTGTGGTGCCACTTCCAGGCTTGGTGCCTAACGTCTTGGCATGTGACCCCCATTCTTCCTTCTCTTCTTGGCCAACTGAATGTCAACGTCTAGAGTGGCTTAGAAGCCGCAAGTTAAACGTGTCAGAATCTGTGGAGCTGGGATCCCTGAACCACTGGATGGAACCGAAGCCCGTCCTCGGCCTGCCACCATTTGGAACTCATGTGAACCAGAAATAAGTTTTTGTTGTATCAAGCCATTGGGCATCAGGGTTTTGTTTGTTGTTGTTGTTATAGCAGCTAGTATTACTTTATCGAAAATAGTAGCCTAGAATCTAAAAACTGAAAGTAAGAAAGACAAATAGTTCTAAGTAAGGAGAAAGGCTGGTCGCTCAAGCCTGAGAAATCTGTTTCCATGCATTGCTTTAATTGTGTAGGTCGGACTGAAAATAAGTCCAAAACTCCCGTCTACTCTAGTAAAAATGCTGAGACATGAAGCTACATTGATCCATTTTTAAATATCTGACAGACTCATAGATAGAGAGCAGGCTGACGGCCGGGGGGGAGGGGGGAGNCAGGCAACAGTGGTGATTGCGGGAGGGGGTGGAGGTGGATGAGGGTATGGGGGGGTAAATGTTGATGGAAAAAAGTAAAATAAATATATTTTAAAAATTTAAGAGTTTGAAAGATATCTGTGGAAATTTTAATTTGCATTTATAGCCGTTTTAGAACTCATTTTTGTGTCATTTCCTATGATTGATATGTTAGAGGATTTTAAGGTTTTCACCTTGGGATTGTATCTTAGTTCACGCTACTGTAACAAAGCACCGTAGACTAGGTGGCTTCTAAACAACAGAAGTTAATTTTTCATGGTTCCTGAGGCTGTAAGTTTGAGATCAAGCTCTCAGCATGGTTGAATTCTGGTTAGATTCCTCTTCCAGACTGAAGATTGTATTTTGCATGTGAGAAAAACATGAATTTTGGGGGATCAAAGGTGAATATTATGGATGGAATTGTTGTTTCTCCAATATTTATATGTCGAAACCC